CGGATAATGCTGTGGTCTAACAACAGGTGTAATTTTTTGGAGGACAGTATTACGTCTCTGAAACGACATGAGTCAACGACCTAAACAAACCAAAATTTTCGACTTGTTGAAGGTCACTTTTACGTCAGATTCTTTTCTTAAAAAGTCGAAGCCAACCCTGTTTTTTCATTTGTTCCCTGTCACTTTCTAAGATTGCAAATTCATTCAGAATGACATGCATACGTCGCATGATTTGACTTTTGTGTTGAAGACCAAGTAGGTTTAGTTGGATTACATTCCGTAAGGATGCATTTTGCCGTATTGCCAAAAAAGCCTCAACCATGTGGTGTGGTGTGCTGAGGACCTATACGCACATGATCCGTCCGCCCTATGAGTTTGCGTAGTGTTTCGAGAGCGCCTTGAGAGTCTGCGCATGTAATTTTTATCAGAGCTTTTAAAGACACCATGGCACATCAAGTCGGCACTACTTCTATTAAGGAGCGCATTCCTCATATGTGTGGGGTTTTGAACTGAAATCACAGCCTTTAAAACCACTCGGTGCATTTCACAGGTCTATCCTTCTTAAGACCTAAGCCCGTGTAGTTTCCGAGCTGCACGTCCGGAATTCTGAAACGCAGAGCGTCGCTATCGGTTTCAATATCATTCAGTTTGCTTCAAACATTGATTGTCACTTTCACCAAGCCTGTATGGTCTCGAAAAATGTAGTGTCTTTTCAATGAAGACATACTCAGAATGCCAAATATGTGTTCCACATGCACGATAATACTTGCCTCCATGCGAGCCAGACTAAAAATGAAGCTACATAAGAATATTAATAGCTTTATTCCTCTTCGAATAGTCAGCAAAAAGGAGATAAGTGTTTTCGGCATCGATATGCATACATACATGCATATATCTATGCACACACACACACACACACACACACACACACACACACACACACACACACACACACACACACACACACACACACACACACACACACACACACACACACACACACACACACACACACACACACACACACACACACACACATATATATATATATATATATATATATATATATATATATATATATATATATATATATATGTGTGTGTGTGTGTATATATACATACATATATATACATATATATATATATATATATATATATATGTATATATATGATAGATTGATCTCTCACTCCCACCGCCACCCCCACCGCCTACCGCCCACCGCCCACCGCCCACCGCCCTCCGCCTTCCGTCCTCCGTCCTCTCTCTCTCCCTCTCTCTCTCTCTCTCTCTCTCTCTCTCTCTCTCTCTCTCTCTCTCTCTCTCTCTCTCTGCCTCTCTGCCTCCCCGTCTCTCTGTCTCTCTGTCTCTCCGTCTCTCTGTCTCTCTGTCTCCCTGTCTCTCTGTATCTGTGTATTTGTCTCCCTGTCTCCCTGCGCTATCTGTACTATCTAACCGTCGGCCAAGACCACGCACCACCTGGCTGACACACATAAATGCCCGTGTCATCTATTCTATATGCCGTCCTCTGCAATGTTTCTACTAAAAAGAAGTTGCACATGAAAACATTGCTTTCTAAAGTTTTTTTTCTTAAACGGTACGTTCGAAAGTGTTCAAGTGCTTTCGTAAATGGCCGAACAGGTGATGATAGGCTCCATAAACATATTCCTGTTTACCAGATCCAGATACTTAGTGCACATCTAGCGACAATTTCAACTTTTTCCGTCCGTGTCCATCCAATCAGCTTTCCGGGCCGGAAACTTGGTGGGAACCGGACATAAAGCCCAGTTCAGGCATGGAACATGCCACCGCCGTTGTCATGACAACTAACAAAAATATGTTTATAAAAATAAGCGAGAATTCGTATTTCTTAAGTAAGTTTTCTGATTTTGTCCTTATAAGTGGAGAAATATGTCCCATTTCAGCATGCTTAATGCTTAACAAATTTCCCATTGATGTTCCTGCTGACTGCATGAACCAGCCATGAATAGGTCAGTTCGAGTATTCTGAGTAGTTTCAAGAATCAGCTGCTACTGATTAATGAACTTCGTTTTCACATAAGCTGTTAGTGCATTTGCGAGGAACATCATGCATATAGATAAGACAGTGTTTATAGCCTCATTCCTCGTAGAACAACCAGGGAAAAGGGAGGACAGATGCCTTGGTATTTCGGTCATATGTTTTTATCGAAACGAATCTTCCTTGTGGTATTCTTAAACTTGAATATCACTGCTGTTATTCGTTTCGATGAGGGTAAGTAACCGAAATATAAATACATCTAGCTGTACTTTCTCCTGGTTATTCAAGGAGGAATGAGGATAACAGTAAAACGTTATCTGAAATGTTTATCGGTGTCCAAAACCAGTTGCTGCCCATTGCAAAATTAGAAATCGAGTCCAGTTTTCTTATTCCATTGCACGAAGGAATCTACCAATGAAATCATTTTTGTGGCTTTTAATACCCCCACTATCCTATACAAATAATTAACGTTTCCCTGACTGTACTTACTGCAGCTAGCTTCCAGCGCTCATAGTTGAGATGCCCACATTTATAGGCGCAAATCCTTGCATCATGACAATTTCATACCTGATTCTTGGTAGGTGATTTGTTAGCAGTTTGGTAGTTTTGGTAGTTTTGGTAGCTTATGAACAGCATCGGCTTAAAAACCAAGAAGTATAAACGGGCTCCAGGACAAGATCGAGGGACTGTCCGCGCGCGGCAGATGTCTTGCAGAGTGGTGCGCGCGGCTCTCTACAGAGCGAAAGTGGCCTGGTGCGAAAATGAAGGCACCTAGAATACGGGCTCCAGATGAGCCGTCATTTGCGCGGTGTTTTCATTCTTGTCAAACAAAATAGACCGTGGCACCCCTGGCAATTATTCCCTTGTTGCTGGGTAATATCGTTGGTTTATTTTCCCACACACAGATGTCAATGCATAACAAGTGCACATAATTGTGGGACACTCGGCACATTACAATATGCAAGAATGCGGTGAAAAATAAGAGGATGCTTATTGTGCCCGTCAATGCTGACAGAACCCGAAACGCGGGTGGATAAGTTGATTATTTGGCCACCGTGGCAACCCGTCGCTTGACTGACGTCACTCGGAAGTTGCGTGGCAGCCGCGTGACAGTCGCTTGAGTGACGTCATCCGGCTATTTTCGAGCCCACAGCGTGAGACGGCACTGTGAGAGTGGAGCGAACTTGCGGCGGTTTAGCAATGCAGCCAATCACGGTCGCGGTGGAGATTGGCGTTTTGATGGTTTTCGTGACGTTCGTGGATGACCTCTGTTAATGACAAATCAGAGCGCGCCTTACAACTCCGTTCAGCAGGTACGAAATATGCACTCACAACGTACATTTAGTCAAGCTAGGCATCATTTAATCATTCAATAGATCTTTGGATGCAGCTACCACGCTTTCAGACAGTCAGCAATACGATGCCCACAGGTGGTTTCCCCTTTTGTGAAATACATACACGTATCGAAGGGCCTCTATCTCAATGCGCAGGCGCAACACTCGGATGTTGACTTTGTGGTAGTTTCGTTTTCTTCTAGTGCAATCAATTAGAACCAAATTCGCATTCTGAAAACAGGTTTGTGACAATCAAGTATGGTGGGCTGTATAAGATCACCTTTCGTGGCTATGATTACGGTGTTTCAGAGGCGGGGAGCAATCTTCAATTCGTTCATTGCTTCAAGAAACCAAGTGTGTCCGTTCAGGGCACCTGACACAAACCAAGTGGACTGCTCTCCATGCAGCTTTTTGTTTGTCAAAATGCTTGACATGTCCGCAAGCAAATATCATGAAAAGAAATGGGAAATAATTCACAAAGGTGAATCGATGCGCGTCAATACCCAACGCAGCAAAATATTTCATCGTTCGTGCGTCGTTGTATTTTGGTCAGATTAATATTTCTTATATTCTGTTCTACCCTTGAAAGATACTGCGTGTCGGGCGCTGCGCCATGAATTACAAAACATGCCGCACGCTGCCCCATCCTCGTATCGTACCCAACTCCTCAACCTGCCCCAATGCTCTTGTGTCTCTCCAAAACGTCCTCATGCCCTGGCCCACATATGCTCTGCCTTTGATCCCCTGGCATGAATTAATTCATTGTGCATGAAGACGCGCACATGAATGACCACATGCGTGATGAGTGGGATTATTTTAAAGTTGAATGCAAATACATAGGCAAACATGCCTCTTCACCATTAAAACTCGGTGAAAAGGTCGATTTCCCATGCACTGAAGCCTGTACGCCAAATTCAAGCCGCAAAGTGACGCATCCCCGAGGCCGTGCCTTGGGCAGGGGCAGGAACTGGCCGTGACGGGGGCACTACTGGTGGAGAATGCTGAGAAACGCTTGAGCGACAGTACTGTAGGAACAATCATCTTGCAGCGACAAAATGTCAAGCTTATGGCAATCTCCATTCGGGTTGGTGAAAATGTTGGCCCCTCACACCATGCTGCATTTTCCCCCGCGGCGGAGATTACTTTGTGAATGTTTACCATTATTCCGCTGCGTCTGGCGTGGCGGACCTGAGATGACGGAAGTTTGATGATTACAAAGACCAGTTTGAGTTACACCTCTCGCACTCTCCCCAGCCTTGGGCGGGGCCAGGCACCGAATAAGGTGTCACTGAGGTGCAAGCCAAGCCTCAAGTAAGTAAAGAGAAGGGCCTCATTTGCTCAGTCTTGAAGAAATGTCTGACCCCGTCCACTCTCCCTGCATTCGGCAGTCACTAAGTCTCCAGTTACTCGATCAGTGCGTACTCAACGGTCAACTGCAGTCTCCAGTGCCGGTTCAACTAGACCGCGGCCGCATCATCCCCGGTCTCCGGGGATCCCTGGTCTGATGACCACCACGCCTCGGTGTGCCCACCTATGGCGTGATGCCGGCCCGCCGGCACCGCGTCCACGCTCGTCTGCGACCAGCGGCGGTCGGCTACGTACCCCGGGTTCGGCCCGCGGCTCGGCGGCCGCCGCCGAGGCGCCGCTCACCGGTGGGGTAGATGAAGACGACGGTGGCGTTGCTGGCCGGGTCGGGCTGCTGCTGCTGGCGCCAGTCATCGTCGCCAGAGGCCGAGCCGTTCATGGCCGGCCCCGGCGCCACGCATCGTCCGACGCACGGCCGCACCGCCTGCCGGCACCGACGGGCGGCAAGGTCAGGTCAAGTCAGATCGGGTCTGGTGAACGGGGCAGACCGGGCGGCAGCTGGGGGGCAGCCGGCGGAGGAACGGCGGCGGCTCAATCAAAAAGAGGCAGCCGGCTTGTCAGGTCGGCGGTTTGCACCAGGCACCCAGAACCCGGAGTATCCAGGACCCGGAGGGGGGGGGGGGGGAGACACATCGGACCACGAGGCTCTGACTGCCTCATTTTCAAGGTTTACTGTTTTGTTCTTAACCCTTTCCTCCTTTGAGAGTTCGAGAGACCCATTTCAGTGTCTCAATTATCGGGTTTGAATTCTCAGCTAGATAGCATTTTGGCCATTAAAGACGCTCTGCAAGCACCCTGCACTGTCAAAAGTACTGGGTCGTCGGCCTCATGGGACCCCGCAGTCTTCAATGCGCTCAGCCCTCTCCAGCATTGGCCTATGCGACCTCCAGGGCAACATGGCCTCCATGACCCATTTGGATACGGCTGAGACAAGCGCACATACTGTCCAAAACCGATCCGTAGCTCACAGAAGTGTACAATAGTGCAGCACCATCAAGTCCTAATAAATCACCACATAGAGGGTGGTGCCTCTTCACTCTTCAACCCACAAAACAGGCTTGTTTGGTCAGATACGGCCCCATTCTGAACAAATGTCTGGGTCCGATGTGCTATCGTTTGCCTCCCTGAGGCGTCTCTTACGCTAACCGAAGCTACCGGTCTGTCTTCGTGAGGTGCCTCTTGCGATCACCGGAACCATCGGTCTGCTACGCATAACCGGGGGGGGGGGGGGGAGGGGATTGGTCCAAAAGTGAGTGGAACGGACTGGCACAGTTTCCTGTGTCAGGCTCTGTCCCGGTCTTTCACACTTATGAATAATTCTCTAGCCCTATGCAAAATGAATAATTCCCGCTTTTAGCGGCGTCTCAGCACATGCATCGAGAGACAACATCTTGTGGAAGACCTTCAGTCTAATATCCACGCTAGCTTTGAGGCCCGGTTGGCCCTCTCAAACATCGGGGCTCTACTAAACCTCCCCTGGGTACGCCAATGGACACAGGTATATACTGCAGACCCAAAATAGCAAAGGACCCAGCCAGCTATTTCCTGAAATGTCAAGCAGTAATCAAAGAAACGTCTAGCGCACTAGAGCCGAACTCTATTTCGCGGGATGTGGCCCTGATAGCCCAACTGCTGAAGCCCGCTCCCAGGCGGGCCTTCAGCATACACCGCCGGCCACGCACGTCCTGGACGCTTGACCCCGAGGTTATGCCGCTTCGGCCTGTCTGTAAGCTCAAATCCTTCGGCAAGCGCTGGTATGACGGCCGGTTCTGATCGGCCGGTGGCGATGGTCCGCCGCGCCGTCCAGGTCGGCCTGCACCGCGGGCTCCCCCGCCGTCGCGCGCCGGACACCTCGTACCTGATGTACCTGTACCGTGATGGACACCCCGTGCCTGATTACCGTGCAATGTAAGCGAACGCCGACGCGCTTTGTCCGATGGCGTAGTCAAGCGAGCACTCTGACCAGCAGCCGCCTGCAAAACTACAGCCCAGCCAGCGCTAACGCCAGTACCGGCACCGGGGGTAGGCACCTTGCGCACTACCGTGCCCTTCTGTGTGCTTTCAGCGTTACATGGTGGAGGTATATGTGCCCCAGATCACCGAGGCCGTTAATGAGCGCGTGCTTGGGTCACCAGAGACGAAGTTGTCGGTGGATGGCCATTAGAGGCATTCACGTTTTAAGCAATTCCACACCAAATTGTATCCTGCTACATTGATGATTGCAACGGTAAGGTGAGTGGAGCCTATTGCGACGAACAGAGGTGCAAGGCAAAAACATTGTGAAGAAGTAGCCTATGTACTTAAAGGAGATTCCATAAACGATCATACCCGTACCTTATCAGAAATCTTCCCAGAATCGGTATCCAGCCCAACCAGCTACCCACTACATGTGAGTGTGGTACCACCCGCGGGCTCACACAACCCGTGCGCTGCGCCGCCTCGGAGCCGGGTGTGATGACGGCGCGGCGACGCGCCACAGGCCGCTCGATGCCGCCGCCCGCGCGTCATCGACACCCACTGGGACGGAGCGGCGACCGGCTGATTGGGACGACACGTCATCGAAAGCCAATCGACGCGGCTGGCGCGCGGAGCGAGTGGCCAGGCGCCGGCTCACCGAGCCCGCCCGGCCGGCCCTGCCGACCGCCAGCCGCGCCGTCACTTGGCCTATTGGTGCCGTCACCCGCCTGGGGACCGAGGCTCGGCAGGGCACGTGCTATCAGTCGTTGATCGTGTGACGGGGCATCGGAGAATTGGAAAGCATGTGCGATTGGTATTCCACGACTCCGGGGATTATGGGTTCTTAGTGTCGCCAATACGCTGCTTCCTACGTACTATGAATATCGTTCGAATTTTGCTTAATGGGTTGCATCCAAACTCAGTATTCGGATAGCTGGACTGAATTCTGAGCTTACCAAGCGGTATCTCGCCTGTGAGAAGGTCAACTGCAATTTTCCAGGCGGCGCAGGACCAGAATGAGGAAGTACGCAGTGTAACGAAGTTAGCGGAGCAGAACAGTCAATCATCATACAAATGACCGTCGCGAACGGTATGTTAGCGTCCATTCGCCGTCACGAGGGTAAAATAAATTTTAAAATGTCAACCGTGGCAGTCATCACTGAATGAGATTTTGTTTTCATAAGGCTCCGCTTGCAACAACTATTAGCGGCCGATGCGTCCAGTTGCCGGCACATTTAACGGAAAATAATAGCACGCCACTCAGCCGCGTCTTTTTTCAAGGGCAGTTCAGTATCAATGCAGTTCGCAAAGGACTTTATTCACACTAAGACAACAACTTTACTCCTAGACGACTTTCATCCATACTTCGCCAGATTTTTTCACCCGTTTTGCAATGGCAATTTGCAATTTTGCAGGAAAGGTCCGGAAACTTCCCAATCCAAAACTTACTGCTAATTAACCATAACAAATGTGTTCAAACAAGAAAAACTTTCCGAAAGTTCCGAGCCTCAGGCAGGCTCCTTGAAACTACAGCAAAACTATTTATGGGCCTGGGTTGACCCTTGTTGGCTTGATGCCAGCAGAACGTGGCACGCCAGTCTGACCAAACGATATGTCCGCTCTAGGTTCGGACCGAGCGCAAGCGAATAAAAAGCCCCGCGTCTTTGCACAGATCACGGAGGTGGTAAATGACACATACGTTTACAATTTTTTTTATAGAAAGATTGAGGCGAGGTATAAGCATCACAATCGGAATAATTGTCGGCTTTTGGGCTTTGCAATGGACAAAGATTCCAACATCTTTGCACAGAGCATGCGGGCAGTAAATGACATATACGCTTAAGTTTAACAGAAGGATTGAGGCAACGTAATAGTACCACGAATGAAATAATTGTTCGCGCTAGCGCCCTCGTCAGGTGTATCAGAGCTAACACACCAGACGAGGACTCTTGCTCGAAGAGTTAGTCCATCCGGCATAGACGTTTGTTAATCTATTTGCAAGACATTTGGATAGCAAAACAAAGTAGCTGGTGGGCAAGACGTTCGAGGCCAAAAAAAAAAACGCGAAATGCTAATGTAGATCAGGAAGCAGGATCTTAGGTTTTCAAAATAATTATTGCCATCCTGAAATCAGAAGCCGGCGTTACGGAAAGAAGCAATGGGAATTAGGATCCAGAATATTGCTTCTTGCCGAAAGTGCCAACGCGGGTCGAGAACGAGCGCAAGGAGTCGCACATACGTTTATTGGCAACGCCCGCCCGCTGTGGCGTCCACATCAGCAGTCGGCAGGCATCCACACTAAAGCCACGTTTCCATCATTTTTCCGGTCCGTAAAACCGGGACGCACCGCCCGGAGTACTGGCCCGGAATGCCTTCAGCGGTGTGAATCAGAGAGAGACCGACCGCCTCCGGCCGGCCGGCCGGCAGGCGTCCGACCGGGCCGCGGGCCGAGAGGTCGACTTCAGTTCGGCCTTTGACCGAACCGGGCGCCGGCGAAAGGCCTGGAGTGGGCCGGTGATTCATTTTGAAGTGCGTTTCACTTGGAAGTGAGACCAAGTGTATAGGCGATAGGAAATATCCAGCCATTTGTGAGACCAGTATGCTATCAAGTGTGCAGCGTTACAAAGTATTTAGGCCGCCGTTGGTTATTTAAAATGCTTGGTTTGCTTCCACTGCAGATACAACAGATGAAAAAAGCACTTGGAGCACACATCTTTAGCTTACAAATGTGCAATCGTACAACGTTTATCTGTCATTTACGCCGCTATGCGACATTTCTATTATTTCAACATCATGTAGAGATATTTACCTTAGCTCAGGACCACTTAAGTAGCTAGGATGAAGATATGAAAGGCCTGATGCACATTATTCACACGTTTATCAGTACAATCCCCTGTGCCATGGGGAACTGTATGGTGGTGGGAAAAACAGCAAACCACTTTGAACATTAGTTAGGAAAACCCACGTCGCCATACAGATGCACGAATCATCTATTCTAAATGAAATCCCTTGCAACATTTCTACTAAAAAATAACTACACATGAAAGAAGTTTTTCGAAGCTTTTTGTGCTCGAAAAGTAGGTTGGAGAGTATCGTCAGGTGTTAGTATCAGTTTCCGGACAGGTTTCGCCAGGTTCCATACAGAGATTTCGGCTCACCAGATTCAGACACTTCCTGCACATCTAGCAAAAATTACAACTTTCTTCGTCGCGATCGATCCATCTGATTTTCCAGGCCGAAAATTGGTGGAAATCGGTCTTAACGCGACGAACGCCAGTCGCGGCACGCTGTACCCCGCGGTGCCTAAGGCGCCAAGTCTGCGTAGCAGCCAAAGACCTGACGCAGCAGCGCGCCGGCCAATGCACGTACGACGGTGCGTTGATAGGAGCTAGCGGACCGGCCGTCATCCGCTACCCACGAATCGGTCCCGGTCGTGTCACGTCACCATTGCAGCGGACCGGTCTGGCG